TTTATTATATTAGATATATTTATCATATTATATTACTATTAGTTTATTTTATATAAATAGCATATATTTTCCCTTGAATTGAAAGATAACTCAAGATAGGGTTTTGTGAATAAACTAAAAGTTCAATAAAGATATTTGTTATTCATTTACTATTACCTTTTGCTGTGTCTTCATACAGGCATGATTGTGATAAAGTTATTGTGATTAATTTGACAGACTGAATTAACTAAATAACCTTCTTATAAGAGGGTTATATAGTTACATTATAATGTTATCTAATTATGGCTATAATGCTATCTAGTTTTGGCTATACTGTTACCTAGTTATATATTTTCAAGACTCTGTGATCTTTTTATGAGTAAGTTGATATCCATTTGTTTTTAATACTCTGTAGCCTTTTTATTGCTTTGTAGTTATCCGCCTGTTTTCATTGCTCTGTGGTCTTTTTGCAGTTAAGATGCATTGATTGCTAAAAATCATGCTATGATCAGGTGTCGCAGTAGATTTGCAAATCAGATTTTGGCTGACACTATACTATATTTTTGACCCGATATTTGGGGTGGAATATCTTGGCATCCCGTGATTAGCTTCGTGCAGTTTTATTCTCGTTCTGATAAGGGCGTTGAGAGCTTTTCAATAATATTAAGATCGCATGAATCGGATGCCTGGATTCCGAGATATTGCATCCTGAAGTTTAGGCAAAAAATATGGATTATAGTGCTGAGCAAAATTAAGCGAATTTATACTGCGCCTTACTGTGCCAGTCACGTAATACTGTTTTAGTGTCAGAATACCCTCACATAGTTGCTTCCCTTCTAATTGCCATTTCTTGATTGCCAGATGAGGCATAAAGTGCTGAATTTGCAATCTATCTATTTGCTAAAGATGTTCTGCAATCCCATCTTGTATGACCTTTTCGATTGCTAGATTGAGGCACGAAGTGCTGAATTGGTGACCCAGATGCACAATCCCACCTTTTATATTCCCATTTGATTGCTGGATTAAGGCACAAAGTGCCGAATTGGTTCAGGCTATACTATTTTCATACTATTTTTCATATATTCTTTTGAACCTTTCTGCCTTCTCAGTCTCTTTCCTGCCTATCGGTGGTAGTACACCAAAGCATAACTTTTTATTTTCTTTTCTATATATTATTCTGCTTTAGTGTACTACCAAATTTATATCTTAGTTTTCGCTCCTGCCTTTCTAGAACTCTTTCTCATATAGTTACTATTCCGGGATACTTTGGGGTACTACTACATCGATTGCTTTTAGATATTACTTTTGGATACTACTACATCGATTACTTTCTTTCGGCTTAGCGCTGGATACTACCACTGACCCGATACTTTACTAGTAATCATATTGATTTTTATTTAAACTTTGCAAGTTTCTATGTAATTTTATATCAGTTTCTTGCATATACACCATGCTTCTTGTGCAAAAAAGCTCAGACCTAGCCCTAAAACAATAAATGAAACAACCAGGCTCTTCTCTAGTTTAGCCGACCTCGATTTTGAGCCTGGTTATGATGATCATATATACTTTCAATATCAGTTTAATAATAAAAATGATATCTCTCTTCTAGACGCCTATCATCCTAAAGAGATTTTGATAAATATATAATCCGAGTATCAGGAAAGAGTTTTACAATAATCAATCATCCGTCTGAAATTTATGGATTGCCTAATACTCACAAATGCATTGATGGGAATTTGCTTCTTTATCTAATTCTGAATATTGATACGAGATAAAAGCCTGATTTCATGAATCCTGAACTCCCTTTCTTAGATAAATATAAAATTACTTGTGAAGATTTATTATCCAGAATCTTAATTGCCTATAGTGATATTATATATTCTGATTTAAAACATCTTGTACCTTTAAATGCTTTTACTTTAGCCAATTCGTCTAATGCCGATAAATGCAGTTGGCATATCATATATCCTTATACTCGTTTTATTGATTACAGAGACCTTAAAGGTTTTGTAGAAAAGTTGCCAATAGGGTTAGAAAATCATACTCAGAATTTATTGATATAGGACTTTACAAATCACGTTTTAGTCTTTGGCTCCTTGGATCAGCAAAGGAAAATAGAATTAAAAGACCTGCAATTTCTTCAGTTAAACAAGGATATCGCAAGTTAGAAAATTATTTAGTTCAACCTAAATAGGATACTTCTGAAATCTGGCTACAGACCTTTTCTTCTGAAAAGCCAGAAAAGGATGAATTCCAATTTATTAAAGACAAAACTGCTTTGAGCAAAGGAGCTAGTTAAGTTATGGTAAAATTTGGACGGCTTGAGATCAGTAGCATTAAGAAGGGATTTGTCAACTTTCAAGTGAAGTTATATGAAGCATATCCTATTTGCGAAATCAAACATGAAAGAGATCAATTATATGACTTTCTTCGAAGTAATGGCCGTTTTGTACTTAAATGCTATCAGCAAAAGCAATATATACTAGATCATAAAGGATTAGCATTTGAAGAAGGAATTAAAATTCCTACTGTGACTAAGTGAGGAATAGCTGAAAGAATATCTAATGCCGTAACAAAATCACATCCTCTTGTAGAGTTACCGAGGGAAGTTATTAATGCTAAAAAGCTAAAGGATACTCCTGAATCATATCCTGATTTCTTAAGCACTAAAAGAATAATTACATTAATTCACTCATCCCTAGCAACATGGAAAACCACTACATTAAGAGAAATCATTATGGCATTAAAGAGTAAGATGCATGATATCTCTTCTATGTCATATTATATCTGGATCTCTTACTGAAAATCTCTTAGTAACAAATCAAAAGCAAAACTTGATGAGTTAAAAGCGTCTGACTTCTGAATTTGCAACTACCAAAATATGCTAAAAGACTTATCTATAAATGAGTGGGATATTATCATAATACAGGTTGAGAGTCTTTTTCGTATCGAGTTCACAGCTCGTCTATTTGTAGCTATTCTCGATAAAGCCAATGCTATCATGTATCAAATATCTAGTGATACAAATACACGAGAGTCTAAGAATGCAATGCGTGATATCTTAATATCTGCGAAACATGTTTAACCATAGATGCTTTTACGAATAAATCAACATTGGTATTTCTTAAAGCATATCGTGGTGAAGACATTCTTATAGTTGATAATAGATACCAGCCCCGTGTAAATGAAATGGTTGAAATTCTTTATGATCTGAATAGTGAAGCCAAAGTCATGAGAATAGGATATGAGTTTTTAAGGCAAGGTAAGCGTGTAGCATTTGTATCTACCAGAGCAGTGATGGCTAGAGCATTAGTAGAAAAAGCATATAAGTTATCTAAACCTGATAATTCGCCTGTTAGAGCCCATGCATATTATGGGAATATGGATGGGAAGCAAAGACAAAAAGACTTTTCTAATATTAATGATGCTTGGAGTGAACTTGACTGTGTGGCTTATACAAATATAGTGGAAGCAGGTATATCTTTTAAAATTACAGGCCACTTCGATATAGTCATAGCCATTACAAATATTGCCACTCCAGTTCATATTGAAGCTCTTGCACAAATGTTTTACCGAATTTGTGATTCTCCTTGTCATATTGTTTCCTTATTCTATCAGAAAATTCTAATGAACTTTTTCGCCTGCCAGGTCATGAAAATATTCGAGCAGAACTTGAAAGTGCTCGGCCTAATAATTTGCCCACAGCAATAAAGTGACTTGTGAATGGAATAATAATACCATTTCTTATAAAGCTGACGAATCTCCAGCTGTAATAACTTTCATTGAAGTTTGAGTATCAGAAACGCCTTTCTGTGAGATACTTTATTGAGAAGCTTTGTAGTCTTATAGCCAGTACCGCGTTTCTCTTCAGATAATGAAAGTGGATGAGAGCCAAAAAGTTATAGGGAATCGTAAAAAAGTCTGCAATGAGATTAGGGTTGAAGCATTAGTTATCAAAGAAGCAGATTTTAATGAAATTGCTACTTCTCAAAATCTTGATTCTGAAGAAGCTGAAGTCCTTAAATTTGACCAAGAGTGTTCTATCGCAGATACTATAGCACTTAAACATTTTTATATGTGAAGTTTTTATTGTAAAGACATGAATATTGAGGATTGGAATAATATTTGTAATAGAAAATTCATTGAAAATTTTAGTTCACCTGAAATTCGGAAGCATTTCTTACGGCTGTCTTATTTTTGAAAGCAAGGTCATGATGAGGAGAATGCAATGAAGGGATTGAAAGCTGAGGAAAATAAACAATGGAAAATTGCTTGCTATAAAGCTGAAAAGAATCTGGAAAAATTAGTAGCAAAGGACTTGCGTAAATCTTATTCAGCAAAACATTAGGAAGTTATACAAGAACTTTTTCAAATACTAGGTTTTACTGACATTGATGACAAGTGTACTCTTTCTAGCAATACTGCATCAGAATCATTTATGCGGTCTTGTGAAAAGTTTATAAAAATTCAAAACCAATCTTTATTACTCTTTAGTTTTAAGTCTCATGCAAAGGAAACACCAGATCTTCATTCAGCTATAAAAACAATTAATGCAATTGCTAGCAATTAGTGTGAGTATACTGTTGAAAGTAATAAAAAAAGAATAGGGCCTAAAGGACAACAAGTTAGGCAATACTCATACCAAATTAATTGCCAGCTATATAATGGTACTAGTTTTAGAAATAAAGGTGCACTAGAACTTCCATCATATAAGTTTGAATATAAATAACGAGATCCAGGAACTCTTTGATTCTATAGGGCAGGACAAATAATACTTCAACCCATATCATTATTCAACTAAGTCTTGATTATATTAGATTCTGTTTTAGTTTTTTTACTTTCGCGTCAGGTACGGTCATAAATTCCACTATGTGTGTTACAGATTCTAGTATCAGAATAGGTTCCCTTCTTACAGATAGGGCATATTGTTCTAGGAAGGGCATTAAAATGTCTGACGCATTCTAAATTACTCATGCATCCTTTTCCACAAATCGACCATCTCTCTTGATATATTGGCAGATAAAATGGCCCATACGAGGTAATTTTGATATTAATATTCTTAAAACTTCGTCTTCACTTTTATTATAGATATTCAAAATCCTACTTACTCTTTTTGTGACTCTTTAGCCGGTTTTCTTATACATTATATGAAAGCCAGTCTGAGAATAGATTGGTCTATTATAGGATGCACACATTTTATTTGGTAAAGACTTATAGTGTCTGACACAGTATCTTTTTCTGCAGATAGACCCATCATCTTTCTTATTTAGGCAAGGCCAAGTTGGATAATTCTCATTTTCTGAATTAGATATGTATTCACCAAAGGGACCAAATGCCATAGTACTTCTTTCTGAAAAAGTTTTTAAGATTAATATACGCCAAACTTCTCTTCATTTTTTTTCACTTCCTTAACCTTCTCAAGAGCCATCTCTGATATCTTCCCTTACTGAAAAAATATAGCTCTGAAGAAATTTTTCGAA